TGTCTTGCCATATGTTTGCAGTTTTTTTTAAGAAAACAAACTAATTCCCTAGAAGATTTCAGATTGCAAGAGAACTCATTAATTTTTATCTGCTAGGTCATATGTGACATTAAGAACGATACCTGGGGCAAATTTTAAAGATACTGTTTCATGGGAACATAGCTACATTGCCCTGTGTCAAAAGTCAATAGTTTTTGTAATGTACTAACAACTTTTACAATAATATTGATTTCTCTTTTTAGAGTGTTTCTTACCAATCTATTTTATTTTTTTTCCATTTTACATAAATGTATAATCTCATACAATTGAGCACATACCTATTAAGAAAAAAAAGTTCCTTTTACATTAAACCTAGACCTAATTGACATAACCCTGAAAAAAATCTGTCACATCCTTCAATTGCAAATTTTAAACCCTGTAACCGAAATAAAAATCACTCTTCTTCCCTTAATTCAGCTTCGTAACTTGAACTGTAATCTTCACTTGTCTTCACTATGCCCTTTGGGCTGTTTCATCGAAGTTGGGCACGATTAATTTCTCCCTCTGCCTTTTCCCCTGTCTTCCCCCACCCCCTGTACCCCACTCCTCCATTCTCAAAGTTATCTAAATGAATTTTTCTACACAGGCAACTTGTGCAAAAATGTCCCAGGCAAGCAGGGCAACTGTAGGTTGTTACTGAGACCCAGACTAACTCATCAGTATTTTAGGAGGTACTCCCCTCTCTCTGAAGCCCTCACCCATAGTACACATATATCTACTTTCACACAGCAGACTGACAGAAAACCAAATGATACTGTTTTAAAACAAAAGCATTACAACACTTCCATTTCAGGTCCAATAAATGTTATTAAGCAGACCTGTTACACTAGAAGGTGTTAATGATTGTCAAGTGACTCTGACACAAAGACAAGTGCACGCCTTGTTAAAATTCAAAGTTGTGCTAGCTCCTTTTACAATTGAAACAGGAGCTAATATTAAACCTATACTGTATAGTAATATTCAGAAACTACAGCAGTTGCTACTAAAAGGCACTGGACTTTATGGTAGAAAACAGATATGAGTGTGACCTAAGAAACAGACACTCCCTATGGTCGAGGTGAGGAATTTGAAAGGTGAAAAACTAAATGGACTGCAGTTATTTGTTTCTATTATGTTCAGAGAAACATGACTGTACGCATTCTAGAAATAAGCCAGACTGAGACAAAACCAAACCTCACTGGGATCAGCAGCCTCCCTCCCTAATGGAGGTAGTGGGAGAGGGAAAGTGGGGTGTGGCTCCAAATCTTAGGCAATTCCTCAGCACAAGGGAAACACCAGTGCCAGGATGGATTGGATAACTAAAGTGAAGGTCTGTGCTAATATTAGAATAGTAATATTCATATACTGCTGCAGATGGTATAAGGAAACTGAAATAAGGCTAGGAGACTTTGAATTATGGAGAACTGGACATTCTGCAGAACAAAATAAAATATCAACCAGAGACTTCTTACAAGGACTGGAAGACAACCTGTGGGGGTGGGGGAGGCAGATAAAAGTGTAAAAAAACCTGGTTTTGCACAGGAACTACAGAATGCTCACAGACATCAGAAGACTACTTTTATTTCCCAAACTAGACCAGCAAGACTAATCTTAGCAATATAGGACTAATAATTACCTACACAATCATTGCCTGCTATGGCAAATATTATAGAATAATGTCCCTTTCATATAGTTAGAGATCTCTATCTCAAAAATATTTCTGTTCTTGCTTTCTTCACTCTATTAAAATGTGACAAAACTCATTGTTTCTTGACTGAATTACCCATGGACAACTTAAAGTGATTTGGTTTTCTGCCAACACTACTATGTAGTTTATACAGCTACTTCCTTCCCTAGATGTACCCGCTGATGGATTTATGGGCAGGTGCTGTGCACATGCTCAACCTTTGTTTTCCCGCACTACAATTTCAACCCTCTTCATTCATCTTTTAGCAGCCCTTCCCTACATCTCCTTCTAATTTTGATTAACCTCGTTTAAGCATATATAAACAGAACAGTACACACTATTACAGCTTAACATCTACAAAGGACATTGGGCAATTGATATCAATAGTTCTCTGTCACTACAAGAAACACCTTCCGAGGCATCATGGGATTATATCTGTCTTTTTATGTAGCTGCATGACTTTGGCAGCTCCTAAGTTGAATCCAGTCTGGATCCTAGTTAGGATATTCACTGTCTTCCTTATGAAATGAGCCACAAACCTCTTTAGAGACTGTAGTATTTAAAAAATGGAAGACAATCAACCACAGTGAATATCAATGATGGAAAAGGGATTTAAGAATTTGCAATAGTGTCAAATTCTCACAACACTATTTTATTTGGTTACTAAGACAGAGAAATTTCTGTGAGGAGTTCACTAAACTCCACTAAAGTGAAAAAAATGAATTAGAAACTTAAGCTGAGCCAGGACACAGCTCCTGGCTGTGAAAATCATTCCTCTTGTTTAGAAGAGCACCTTACTAAAGCAGAAATGTAGAGGTGGAAGCATCCTCTCCTGTTTTTGTTTGGATGCTAGACAAGTAAATCATAATAGGAGTACTTCTTCTGGCAGTGTAAATGAGCAATCTAAGCTGTGCCACATGCCACATTATGCATTTCCTTTCTCTACCATTGATTGGGTAGAGAAGGGAAAACCACGTTAGAGGGCTATCGATTATAATTTTCACAACTGAACAGGAACTTCTTAACTGTTCAGATCTCACTGCAATCATATTGCACATAGATATCAGTTTTTCAGTACTGAAGTGTTAGTACAAGAAGACAATGGAAAAATTAATTGTCAGAATATTCTAAGAGAAATAACTGTATACCAAAAGATATTTCACCAGGGAGGAGGAATTAACAGTGTATTCTCTTTGTTGTCTTTATAAGAGCACATTTGTGGTTTAGGACAGAAAATTAATTCTTCCAACGGCTCTTCACATATGTGAATCCTGTGAGGCAGATGTTCAAGAAACTTGTACTAAAATTTTATCTACAGGCCATAGCACAAGTATGGTAACTTTAATGCTCTGTTCCGATGGCCCTGGGTGAAGGGTAACTGCAAACAATTCATTAAGGAAAAAAAACCATCAGTGCAGCCAGTTGAGACTACGAGAGGCTGCAAACACCACTCCTGCAAACGAGTAGAAAACTCAACATCATATTCACAGTGACCAGAATTGTTTTACATGGCAGCAGGGATTACATGCAAAAGGTGCATAATCAGCAAGATCAACACTTGCATTTTTGGGATTACAGCACCCTGACAACTGGTTGTTAGTCTTTGAATCTATGGCGCCATGACGTACAATGACTTTCACCATATAGTCTGGCACCATGCTTCAAGATGACAAAAATGTGTAGTGAAGGGGACATACTAATATCAATAATATGTACGATTAGAAAAACCTGCTGGCAAGTGCAGTCATTCTAAAGTGAGGTCTCCATGGCCAAACACAACAGCACTATAGAAAAGCTTAGAATTTAGAATGGAAATGCAGAACAAGGAAAGAAAAAATCCAGCAGATTCTATGAACAAGTAACAGCCAGACATAATGGATTGTGAAAAACAAAGATTTCTCTTGTGATTTTAAACAAACTAAATATTTTTAATTTTGCAATTTTAGCCAGAACAAGAGATACAAAGCTCTGAAGCAGCATTAACTTACAGAGAAATCAAATGAATCCTATTGCCTTTACTGTACTGGGTCATTCACGAAAGGCAGAATTGGTAGCTGGCATTTTTTTGTAGTCACCAACTATTCAACAAAATTATCCAAAGCTTATCCCACAGTGATTTAAAAGACTTCATCAAAAGTATAAGCTTAAATGAGTGTATTTTTTGCTGAAATTTGGAGCCCAGATGAAGAGTGCATAGAAAAAAAAAAAAAAGAGGAAAAAAAAAAATTTCTTTTTGTCAGTTATTGAGATCTTTATAGCCTGAATCGATCCAACACACAATTTCATGGGACTGAGGAGAGGCTCAGACACCTCTGACTTATACTGGCTATAACTTTACAGAACAGCACTAACTGACAGCCTCATGCCTCATTTAATTTGGCAGCTTACTGAATAGATAAATAAACATGAGTGCACAGGATATCCCACTTGAGGTGGATCATATATATACATATATATATATCTCCACACTCAGAAAGTTTTGCCCCTGTAGATAAGCAACTTCCATTGGCACACTGAAAATTTTATGACCCTGTATTTTGAACTTCATTTTGAACTAAGAAACAAATTGGGAAACAGAAGTATATTCCAATGTAAAATCTAACAGAAAAATGAAGTGACTAGAACTTTGTTAATTCAAGACTAAAAGATATTTAGAATGCAGGTTTAAATAATAAGTTTAGATTGTAAAAATTTTTGCTAACCAAAATGTTTTACCGTACTTCATATGCTAAGAGAAAAAAAAAGGTGTTCAAGGACTGTCAGTTTCAATGCCAACACCTATGACAATGTCACTGTTGATCACAGCTTGCAAAGTACTGTCCTACTGTGCAAAAATTATGATTATCACCAACTCTACCACTAATTCTTCAGTCTTTAACAGGTTGTTCCTGGCATTGCACTGAATAATTATTAGAATCATCCAAGCATGAAGAGCTGTACTGTGTAGCCAAATTTGGGATCATCATAAGTTTTATTCTATGGTAACTTCTGTCACATTGCCATATAGCATCTTGCCTGTTCTACTGTGCGCATCCAAAGTTTGAGAGTACCCCGGGACAGTCCTCTTAAAAATGAGAATAGCATAAGCTATTAGCATCCTTCATACCAGGCAGTGCATCTTTTAACTTCGGAGAGGAATAAGAGAAATAAATATATATAAAGTTCAGTTTAGTGGGTCTGGAAGGCAGGGGAATCACATGAGAGCAAGCTGATGTTAAAATTTGGCTCAATATTACATATCAACACAGAACATAATCCAGTCTGATTCAACATGAAAAGAAAATAGATTTCTCACCTTGCTCCAGCAATAAGCTCTTTTTGTCCTGGGTCAAACGTTAACTGTGAGAAGTCCACAGCATCTTCTGCTCTGAACACATGTAACCAAGGAGCAATTTCTAAAAACAATGAAGAAATACATCTTTTACTTTAAATATCTTTGTTGTAGTACCTTAGGTAGTTAACATTATATTTGCAGATACTGTGGGGCTGCAAGTTTTCAGTGTGGTCCTCTAAGGAAACATAAGAGACTTTTAGCACCCTACCACATAACAGACTACAAGCCTGGAAAATATATAGAGCAGTCACCCAATACATACTTGAATGAAGTATTCAAATTTTGGTCTGATTTATAAGCCAGATGTGTTTTTCCTTCTTAGGTAAAGCAGAAAACACCACAGTACAACAGCAATTCACTGGTATATTCAAGTGAAGTTAGATAAATTTTCCACGCATCAGAAGCAGCTGAGGACTAGAGCTTTTTTTCTTTGTTCCTTAAAAAAAGGATCCGATCAAGTCGAAAACAATGAGAAAAAACAGGCAAATTTAACTTTTCCTCTTTTTCACAATAAAAAGATTGACATATGAGGGATGAACAAGGGAAAATGCTTGACATTCAGGTGAACCTTTTGGTTTCTTAACCTGTGTTTCTCAGACCAATTTAGTGCTATATTAAACGGGGCAGACAAGTGGATGAGTTGCTGAAAACCAGCAAGGAGCATTACTTTTATTCAGAATATGAATCTATCCCCACTTTCAAAGTTAAACTCATATAAATAACTGCACACCAAATCCTTAAATATTTGCATTATTAGTAGTTATATTTGCATTCATATCAGTAGTTGGAAACCCAACAATGCAGCAATATGAACACAAACATTCTGGAAACTTAGAATGCTTTTATAGATAGGTAGGTAGTTGGTTTTGGTTTGTTTTGTTTTGTTTTGTTTTGTTTTTTTACACCAACACACAGAATACATGATTGCTAGAATGATATAAGTGGTTCTTTAAAAAAAAATGCAGTTGTACAAAAGCCTCAGCCTCTAGAGTTTCTCTTCCAATTCTCAGGATATTGAAGCTTTTTTCTTATTTATCTTTAATGTGGTCACAAAGCAGTGGTCTGGAACATATGTGAAAGGTGAAGAGGGCTCCATATGTATGGCACAACGGGCTGTGGAACTGTGTATTTGAAAACTATAGATGTGAAACAGTTAATAAAAAGACCAAAGGTGAGTACATGTTCATGACCATTTACAGTGTCAACACTAACGCCCCTGAAAGTGCTGTGGCAGTGTAATTTTATGATACTGGTATCACCACTTGCAGCTCAGGTTGCCAACACCCATTGTAAGCTACTTTCTTCGCTCATGAGCATATTTTTCCCCTTGCAAATGTCTGGGTTGAAATAATCCATGTCTGGTGCCTGTTTCAGGATGATTTGTTCTTAATTTAAATATTAAAGTTTTAGTACAAGTAGGTCATCCATTCCCAGGGAGAGGGCCCAGGAGAAAAATGTTATTCTATGTCAAAATGTATTCAGTCATTGCAGGGAACCATTAAATGCACTGTGCAGAAGCTGTAGCATCATCTACTTTGGAAAAACAGATGGAGCTTTGCAATAGAATCACTTGGGTGTCAGAAAACCAACTTCAGCATTTTTAATGACAGCCTGGATGCATCTGGGCAATTTCAGGCTTGTAATGCCAGTTTGCACATGTTCTGCAGAACTTGTAGCTAAATTCACTGTTGATTCCATCTGCACTGGTTAGGTTCTCAAATTAGGGTCTGAACACTGGGCAGGAAAGGGAATGGGGCCACATATTTGATATCTATGATTACAGCTGCCATCAGCTGCTACTACAGATGCTGTGCATAGAACCTAACAGGATTCCATAGGAGGAAAAAAATATATCTATATACACACACACTTATATGTTATAGGCCTATGTAGCCTTATACATACTTATTTATCTATTTATATTTATGTATATAAGGCTACAAACAAGGAAGTCCAAAAAAGGCATTTCTTTACTTTTTTGTACTCGATTTTGCAACCTTTTCAGTCATGCATTTTATATGAAACAATCAATTACAAAGTTCTAAAAAGTCAAGAAATTAGGCAGGACACTAATATGAGAAAATCTGGATGCAAGTCTTGAAGAATCTCACTTACTGAAGACAAAAAAAAAAAAAAAAAACCAACAAAAAAAACCCCCTAAATAAAATTACGTTTATCAGACAAGGTATCTAAAATCTCCATAAATTCCCTCAGACATTTCCCACATGCACACAGAATACAGACATGGTCTTTACAGAAAAAAATACACAAACACACTCCCAACCAGAAACAGCTCTCAGTTCTGAGAGACTACTTTTCCTTGTATTAAACACTGTGAGTAGGACATAAATGGATGTAAAACCATTTTATAAAGCAGCAGAAATTCAGACAAAATTGTAATAGTGATGAATCACTGATAAAACTGCAGAATAAATATCCTATGGAAAAAAATCAGGTCTTTAAAGACAGAGTAGAGTATCCAGACTGGGAGTCCAAGCACATCAGTGGGCAGAAGTCACAAGAGGGACTGGAAAGACAACCCAGGACATGGGTTTTCACCCTTGGCTGCTATGTTCCCCTTCCACATGGTTACACAAGCCATGGCAAATGCACATACAAGGAATCTGCACTCTTCAGGATGGCAGTCACAGCCCCCTGGGCTCTCTCTGCCTACACCCATGCCCAGAGGTTTCTGCCTCTGAGGTACAATCTTGCAGAATCACACACACATCTACTCCTAAACTGCCAAAGCATAACTCAGGATATCACTGTATTAATGTTCAAATTTGTATCACTGTGTGCAAACATGCGGAGTTGAAAACTCTACTTGCTCAGCAGCAGATCTGCACACAGGTAAAGCCAGACCTGCTGTGGAAACAGCAGTCTCTGAAACAGAGAGAAGGCAAACAACTGAGAACAGGATTACTTCAGTGCCACATCGGTATGACAAACGAGACCCTTGGTCTCCTGGAAAATAAAGAAAGCAGTAGCTCCCCATCGCATGGGTAGGGCAGGGACACTTCACTACACAGAGGTATTGCTGTGCAGAAGTCCACAGGGAAGGCTGAGGCTCAAGGATGCAATTCTCTTCTACTTGTCCTACTGTCTCAGCAAGTCACAACAAAGCTCCAAGGTACAGCAAAAGCAGGTGATTGAGACCATTTCCAGGTTTGGAGCAACAGGGCAGGGGCCAAGCAGGGCAGGGCAAGCCCAGGCTAGAGAACAAGAAAAGAATAAGGACTTGCTAAGAAATCTCTCTGAAATCCGATTCACCTCTGTCGCTCCAAAATATAAATTACTCTATCTTGTCTTTGTTGCATTCAGCAATGTTCTTGCTTGAGGGCATAAGGTCAGGAAGAGCAAATGGCAGCTAGGGCTGCTTTTTTTCTGTAAACACTCTGAAACCGTATCTCATGTGTGTCACAGTGGTAACACATGCCATACAGGAATAATGCGATAGCCAAAAGTTTGATATATTTCTGTAAATTGGGAGGGAACAAAAAAACAACAACAACAACAAAAAAAACCACAAAGAAAACCCACAACACCAACAAAAAAATTAAACACAATCAAAGAAAAGCCATGTCAACTGTAAAAGTAAAAACTCATAGGTGAAATTCTGCTTTGAGTTACACTACAGAAAAATTATGTAACTAAATCAAGAGAATAGTTAAGATTTATTTTCATCTAAACAGCAAAATCTAGCTGAAAAGCCTCAGGTGAAACAAGACTTTTCAGTTCTGTTATGAGTTATCTCCTTATAGTAAAAAATGCATAAAAAGCTATTAAAGGTCTTTAGTGATTTCTTTATTCTTACTCCTGATATTGAAAACACTTATTTCGGACACACCTTCTACCTGCTTTGTTGTTCAGTTTTTATCCTTTTAGAATTAGTATACAAGTTCACCATTCTGCAGATATTGCTCTCAGACTTAAAGCTGTCCATGGAAAACTATATCATGGTATACATACAGTCATGACAACAGCTGGTCTCCAATACATGCTGGGTCCTTTTGGTACATTCAAGACATATTTACCCTTAGCAAAAAAAAATATTGTTTTTTTTAATTGCTATTTCAGGAGTGAAATCTAAAGGCCTTATAACTCAAAAACATTCCCAAAGAAAATGTATGTTTTCCCATGGAACTAAAAGATGGATATTGAAAAAGTTGGATTCTGAGAAAGCTACAGGTCTTTTTCACATGCTCTGGATATTCCTGGGGGTTTCAGGTTTGGGGTTTGTTTTGGTTTTGTTTTGGTTTTTGTTTTTGGGGTTTTTTAAAATAGCTTAGATTTAATAGGAAAAAAAGTTTGCCGTGGCTTATAAAACTATGGCAAAGCACACATACCAGTCCCCTCAGCTCCTAGAAAAGGTCAAGGGAATATCCTAAAGAACTTTAAAGACAAAGGAGGTTAAGAATCAAAGCTGGGCAGGAGGCCATTAGATACTTGTACAAAATATGAAAGTCCAGAAATCTGTCTTGGTTTTACTTTAAATTTAGTATCTGCCCAACAAGCCATAGCTTGTTTGGTTTACATTATCCAAGGACTTGCCAAGGGCTGAGCTCTACAGTTCTTTGCAAATGAAATAGTAAAGTTCTCTCTAACCTAAGTTTTATTACTGTAGCTCTACCTTGAAGGGCTGAATAAACAGTAAAATAAATCGAGAAATTACTAATGAGGAATAAAGTGGTACATTTAAAAGTGAATTCAGAAGTGATCTTTAATGGTAAATAACCAAGTTAGAAAACAATAAAGATCTCTTGATTTCATAAAAAAATTAACATAGATATTAAAAATGCCAGTAGTGTTTATGGTGTATGTATGTGACACCTCATGCCATGGGGTCCTTTCTGAAAATAGTGAACACAAAATTAAGCAAATGTGCAGTACTGCCTTCTTGAAAAAACTCTGTTACAAAACTAATAATAACAACAACAACACAGCTGAACACTAGCAGATTTGTAGTATTAACAGAAGTCTCTGGGTGGCACCAGTACGACAAATTCACTAATCTTATCATAAGAAAATTAAAATATCCTACTGCATACTAAAGTTATT